ACTGCAGTTTCAATGGTTCGAGAATAACGATATATCACCAAACTACGTAATATTTTATGGAACCGATAAAGATTTAGTTTCGATCAAAAATACTGATTAAGTACTTTACGTGTTTTACTTTACGTGTTTAGAAAATTAGTACTTTACGTGATGCTATGCTGCTAGCTATTATGCCGGTGAGTAGGCGCATAAATCTCAGTCACAGACTGGGTTCGAAACAAAAGTATTCTCATTTTTTTTTTAATTATTCCAAATAATCTTGCATTTATGCAGCCTTGATAGCTGAGCGAGCGCTAGATATTGACCACGTATACTCGTACAACTTGAGTTCAGAGCCCGGTGCCAATCAACTTAAGTGCTGATTTATCATGTGTAGGATAATAAAACAATATCTTAAAGATCGAAGAGCCTATTTTGGGTGTACTGTAAGTGCAATCACGTCAGGGTCACCAGTTTGGGTGCACTGTAAGTGCAATCACGCCGGGGTCAACAGTTTGGGAGCCGGCAGGAGGGAATAATTAAAATGCAGTACAAAGAACAAGCCGCGTTGAGAAAACCATAATCTTTTATTGTCACTCGCAAAGAGAATGTAATCACTACCACCTTTCCCTATATACAAAAGTACTCTGTGATCACTACGTTTACGTTGGTCACTCGTTGCTATAGTAAATTGACAATATTAGGGTAATGCTAGACCGATGAGAATAAGGGTGTACAAGATAAGAGCTGTGCTACACAGTAGCAAATGAGTCGCCACACTATAATATATTTCTCACTGTCCAGCTGTAGGACATATATGGGCTGTACTTTTCTATATTTATTGGATTTACGTATGTACTATATATTATTAAATAAAGCTGTCCACAGAACGTTGTCATATTATAAATTGTTCACAAATTATCGCAAGGCCGTTTTCGTGCAAAAGTCAATCGCAAAGATATTGAAATAAGGCAATATCCACATTATAACAGAGAAGATGACATTATATTGACATTGGACTCTCATTATTTGGAATGGTTTAGTAATTTGCATTTTGCATTTGATAATTTTTCTACGTTTATCAGAGATAAGTGATAACATTTTGTTTTATTCGAATTATTTACGCGTGCAACTTTTGCTTAAACCATTGAGTAATTAATAAAATTAAATTTAGTCGCGCTTCTCTACAAGTTGGATTTTTAATAAAAGCTGATACTTGTTGTTCCTTTGCTAAAGATAAGGATAACTGCGACATTAGAAGAATGAAAATATGACGAATGATGATGTAGAGTTTTAGAAATGTCAGATTCTATTAATTCAGAAAATTCAGATTAGAAATGTCAGATTAGAATAAAATAGTTAAAGTGTTTATTTTTGATATCAAAATTAATACTATTTCTAGCTCTAGCTCTACCGGATCTATCCAAACAGATCATTTTTTTTTTATTTTAGTCTATCTGCCTATCTATCTACCGGAGATTATCTGAAATAAGCATTCAGATAATCTCCGAAACGAAATCAATCGAAAGCAATAAAATAGATGTCTCATCAATTTTGGATACGACATTTTTCAGAGACTAATTTAGACTATTTTTTTATACAGATCCGAAGTAAGAGACGGTCAGTAAGCCGTAGGAACCTGCAATTAAAATTTTTTATCAGTCGTGGGCGATGGAATTTGTTCAATTTCACTAAAATTTGATTTCTATAAACCTTTATGTTAGTATATTCAAGCCAACCACCTAGAGTTCAAATCTCGGTACTGGTATGTATAAAATTATTAATTGCAATTTTAAGTATTGAAGGAAAACATCGTGAGACTCCCTGCATATATTCGAAATAATTATAATAAAATTAAAAAAAAATGAGGGCTTGTAATCTTTTCACCGTAACATTATCTATAAAATCGGCAAAAAGTCAAGTCTGTTCTATGGAAGCCCCACCTAAATATTTCTTATTCTCGTTTTTAGTATTTTTTATTATAGCGCCAACAGAAATACGTCGTCTGTGAAAATTTCCACTGTCTCCAAATCACGGTTCATGATACAGCCTGATGACAGACAGACAACGAAGTCCCGTTTTACCCTTTGGGTACGGAATCATAAAAATGATTTCATTATAGGTACATACAACGATTAATATATTGTTAAACTGGGAACAATATAAAAATTGGATAATTTGGTATGTTGAAAATTTGACTATATACTTAAGTGCAATATCGTAATCTTAACTTGTACATATATTTCGATTGCGATTTCGTCCAAAACTAGTAAAAGTGCAATAGAATCCAAAACTAACACAGATTAACTTTGGTAGGTCCACGAAAATGTCTTCACTGCTGCACCAATGGGCAGGTCCATCCGGGGGAGTAATACGATCTCATAGGACACCGTCGTGAAGTGGAAGTGTTAAACTGCTGCGTCTCGTCTGGTGAGTGAGGAACTGGGGTCCATTTTATTGAAAGGTGACCGTATGACATCCGAACGAACTCCTGACGTTTCCCGACACCAATAGAGGTTGCTTCATTATCCACACAGTTTGGAGAATAAGTAATTTTTCTCAAGAAGCTTGTTTATTGTCTCAGTAATTATTACAACAATTACTTTTCGCAATAATTAAAATTTAACTCCAAAAAGTAAAATAAGAGGCCAATTAATTCCGTCTTTTTCACTGTGCCAATGGCTGTAGTGGCTATATTTTGATTTTTTTTAAACTTTGTGAGTATAAATCTGAATGGAAAATGGTTCCGAAACCATGGATTTTTATTTTGACTTAAAAAAACTCTACTTTTAGTAATCTTGTAGAAAATTTTTAAAAAATTGATTTCCTTTCGGAACTTTCATAAATTAAGTAAAAACAAGATAAACTTCACTCTTAACTTAACCCTAATTATTTCATAGCCTTTTTTTTTTGGTATCGGGGGGGGGGGGGGGGGGGGGGGGGAAATCTTCGTAAGATACCCTGAGACAGGGTTATGTGGGGTTCTTACCCACTAAAACCCCCTCGGTGGCCACCTTCTGTACGTTTGGAGGGACTCCGGGATCTCCTACGGAACGCACCGGTGTCCCTCGGTACTGGGCGTGAGCACGCCTCGGAGAAGGGTTAAACCTTCCCCGGTTTCCTCGCCATCTTGCAGCAGCTCGAGGCCACTTCGAGCTGCTGCCAATCCGTGTCCCCTTTTGACGCCTTTTACGACAGGCAGGAGATAACTTAGTCCTATTCTACGAGCCCGGAACTACAGGGCTGTAGGGGCAGCACGTCTGCCCCTGCCGGCTTGGCGCCGCCGTCTCCGAGTAGGGTCGCCCCTCTCCCTTTCCCGTTCGGCGACCTCCTTCTGGAGCATAACAGCTTCACAGAAGGAGACCAGTGCCTGCCAAGCAGAATTTTCCGCCAGCCCAGCGGCCACAGCGACTGGTGGAGAAAGGTTCTCACCGATACTCCGGACCAGGGTCCGTCATTCGGACTCACGCAGGGCCCTCAGCGAGCGTATGTTGCGCGGAGTCCCGATCACCTCCACAGTGGTGACATTTCGCCGTCGGTTCGCGTCCAATTCTATTTAGGTACTCACCAAAGCAACCGTGGCCGGTGAGTACCTGCGTCAGCCGAAAGGTGACGTGCGCATACCCCGTTGCACTTAGCCAGGCTTCGAAGCTCGGCAGGAGCGCGCTTACAACTCGCTGGCGCAGGTTTCGAGGCTCTTCCAGCCGCTCGCGCCAAACCTCCAGCGCGCGTGTGCGCTCCTGCTTCCGCACCTCTCCCGCATCCAGGGGCTCGGCATCCTCCCGCGAATAACGGAGGCGAGTATAAACTCGCGCATCCATTTCTGGCAGTATGTCCATTGGAGGAAACCGAGCTAGGATAGTGGCCGCCTCGAAAGATATTGTACGATATCCTCGTGCGATCCTGATGGCCATCCTTCGCTGCGGACTATAAATCTTAGCTCTGCAGCGACGGACACCCGTTAGTCGATGCGACCATACGGGCGCACCATACAGAGTCATCGATGGCGCGACCCCTGCAAAAAGGCGGCGAACTCCTTCCCTGGGACCCCCCAGATTAGGTAGCAGTTTGTGCATAGCACCCACCACCATTTCGATCCGAGGGGCCAATTATTTCATAGCCTAGTATAGCAGTTTACTTACTATAAAATTATTTTCTTCTTCAAATATTATTGACGGTTTCTTTTAAATATTTACGATGAAATTTATACAAATGTCAAATTTGCACTTGTCCTCGCATTCCCTTTTTGTTTCAATTGACGTTGAATAAACTTTAAGAGTTATATACAAGTTTCGATTAAGTTTTCGTCCGAAACCAATTAAGGTGACAAAGATTATCTTTGCATGAAAAACTTAGTGGTAGCTATCATTACGACTACAGATCTCAACTCCAATGTTCCAGTCACAAGGTTATAAATGCAAATGATGAATCCAGATTGCAGGTAAATCACCAGTAAAATGAATACAACAAATATGCCGTTTTCATAGATAATTTCTGATGCCTTTTATAAATATTGCCGCAAACATGTACTACATAGTTTTTTAAAGTTAGTCATAGCATCAGAGTTGTTTCAAGCGCGGTGCTAATCATTAAGAGACCGTTTCCTTATAACAATCCTTTTTATCAATTAATTACAATAATCAAGGTTTACGTGAACTTCGTGATTTGCGATAAAGTATGTTATAAGTATATATTCAATAAATAAAACAATAAACTGATCTTTAAATGGCAATCGGTTGAAGACATTAATAATGGTTACCACATTTATACACAAATGAACGAAAATAATAGTAATAAAATAACATGTGCACGTAACTGTGAAAACTTTTATTAAAATTCTAAATAATTCCAAAATATAAATTAAATATTAATTGCTCGGGATCTTCCGGCAGCTGCACGTTGACGAACGCGGCCAAGTAGTGACGCAGTGGTTGCGTGCAGCTGGTGGAAAATACGCGTTCAGGATGGATGAGCCGACACCGTAATGTTAGTTCGTTTACGTTGCAGCAGCCCCAAACCTAATGCCTATGGAAAACAAAAACGTTATAGCGTCGATTATGAAAGCTGTTAATAATTGTTAGCAGATGCTGAATATCTATTTTCATCAATTTAACTAATACCAGGAAACGTATAAATAAATCTGTTGCGCAATTGCCCAGGAACTGCCGAGGCTTCGGCGCCGGGGTCTGCGGATTTGATTCCCACACGGGACAAGTATTTGTGTGACCCGCAGATAATTGTTCCAGACTTGGGCATTTGTTCCCAATTCCCTCGCCAAAACCAACTTACCTATAACATGATTATCATGTTGTACCGACCCCACCTAGCTCTGATAAGGGCAAGAGGATGATGATGATTCAAGAAAACTTAAGACCCTTTAAATAATATTCATGCCGTAATTGTAGCCGGACTTGTATTAAGGAAATGAAAAGATGAAGAAGCAAAATTCCCTATCAACAACATTGTGATGGTATAGTATGGTGTGTACGATATGGTTTGTCGTGTTGGTATAACCCTGCGACCTCATACATCTTGAATTTCACAAATATAAAAAAATCCAAAATGTGATTTGTTGACAATAATATATTTTGAGACTAAGCTTAATTTTATCTATTTACACATTATAAATTTTAGACGCCGATTTCTTGACCCGAACAATTTTGTCGTCCTTACCTCATGAACGAGAAAAGTAAAAACCAAATTTTATAACATCACTTACCTATAAATTTGCAAATCCACTTTAAATAAGAAATAACATTTTATAAAATTATACATAACAGAATTTTATAAAATATTACTTCTATTAGGGATTTACGTAACGGTTAAAATAATTTCGATTTGATGAAGCTTTTATTGACGTATACAGACATTTTTGTGAGAATCAAACAATCTTGGTGGGCCCCGGTTACCTCACTCACCAGACGAAACGTGAAAGTATAATACCTTCACTTCACGCCGGTATTCTGTGAAGCCGTGGTACTTCTCCGAGTGGCCTGCCCTATTTAATCGATACAGTATCAGATCAAAATTGTATCAGTTTACTACAAGAATGACGCATACGAGGAGCAAAATAATAAATCGTATCAAAGTCAGGAACTGTGAACGGCTTGGACTGTAAGTCGAACTTTTGTCAGTTGATATCTTTAGCATCATATCTATAATTATGTATAAGTATGTTTTAACAGGCTAATGAAGAAAAGATAAGCCTTATTATCGTTAATGAAGGGTAGAAATTTATATGAAAATTTTGCAGTAAGAGTTTTATAAGACACTTAGATGCAAGAACAGAGAACTTTTAAATTATACCTCATATATTATAGCAATCATTTCTTTGCAATGTGCACATGTGATTTAAGGAATCCTCTTTCAGGAACCAAATGGGAATTTCAATATCGTCTTTCGTGTGAACCCAACCCCGTCGAGGAAAATACCAAGTCCCGGGCATATAATGAATTGTATTTATGATGACTCGGTGGCGCAGTTGCCAAGGTATTGGCTTCAGTGCCGAGTTCCATTCCCAAACGGGAAAACTATTTGTGTGACCCACAGAAAATTTTTTCAGACCTTGGAGCTTGTCCGCGTGAAATTTATGTTTGTAAAATTGTAATAAAAGGCAAGTCAAAATAGATCTATTTACCTTAGGAAGTTGGGGTTGGCAGCACCGTAACCAGCGCCGGGTGGCAGGGCCCAGCCACCGGTACCAGCGATGGCGTTAGCGTTTGCACGTGCATTTGCGGACGCGTCACCTCCCGCTGAAAGCGAATGGTAGCAATATGAAAAACTAAATACTAAAGTCTGTCATTAATTGCGTCGTAAGTACCTTTACAATTATGTCAAATTTAATATTGACGAACCAATTGGTTTAGTGAACAGTGAACTTGGTTCTTGCTCAAGAATGTGTTTGGGTTGTCTATGGGGAGTTGTATCTAGATAAAATAGTTAGGTACTACTAGAAAAATATTGTAAAATGAACATAGCGTTCTAGGGTCTTGATGTTTATATCTGGATAATTTGCGTATTTGTAAAATGACATGTATGTATAAAAGAAAAGTATGTTTGTATATGTTTATCAGGAAACTAGTATCCATAGTGTAAGCTTTGCTAGTGTTTGACTAGATATCTTATTGTAAAATGTTTCCTGAAATGTCAACATATTATTATTTATTTATATTCTAATGCCCCTTTTCACCATCGTAACATAATTTTAAGTGTAAATAAAAAAAATTAAGTGCTAGTTTCGTTCACGTGGCATTCAATTTTTGATTCACATTCTCAATAAAACACGAGCAACACGACGATGCTTTTACGTTATTAGAATAAATTAAAAGCAACCGTTAAAAGCTGAACACCCTTCACTCCGTCGGCTCGGAAAGTAGTTCAGTCGATCCACAATCGTGTGATAAAAAAGTAAGTATTGGTAACATGGGTTATTTTTTGTAGACGACGACCATTGGCCGCCGATTCGAAACCGTTAGACGAACGGCAGCTCCACACGTAGAATTCTCACCGAGCCCCTCCATTATACAATATGTGCCTCGACCACACTTGCGCATACTAAACTACGATACACTTAGACGAAGTGCGCATTGTGTGCATGAGTAATTTGACCTTAGGAATGCAGCAGAGCAAACTTTTACGAAACAATCGTTGAACTGACTCGAGGCTTAGTAAGTTTTAACATAAGAATGGAAAACAAAAGATAAACTTTATGGTAGACCAATAATTTATAAAGCTGTAAGGGGGAAATTGATAACGTCATTCTTTTTATCCTGCCCCTTTCTGATTTTTTAAAAAATGTTTAAAATTAAGTAATTATTCTAGACATATCTACTAACTAGACTGACTTTGAAACTTAATCGTGGATTACGCGCTCAGTATTTAAAAGCGGTGGTAACGGTAAAACACGTTGATGGTTTGAAAATCGTTACCAGGAAAACAAATGTCTAGAACAACATACGCTGATTTGACGCTGATTGGACGGTACGTCACGATTATTTTAGGAATTTGATGTGTTGTACAATGGAAATCCAATTAAAGATTAGTTTCACATCGACTATGACTAATATATGCACGATTGTGAGTTTTGTAACTGGTCACAATTAGTTCGATAGTTGCACTAAAATCTAGCACATAAAGATACCATGTTATAAGCTACAAAGAGTATCAATGTAGTATAAGAAATTCTATGATCATATTTGTAAAACCTTTGCGTATTCTTTTAATCAATTGAGATATTTATTTCAATAAAATATAAACTTAATTTTCAAGTACATTGACAGAACGGCATATAATTGCATTTAATTACATTTGATGATAACTTTCACTTATAAGAATAGAACTTGACATTTGAGTATTTTACAAGTATAAGGTATATGAAGTAAGTAATTGGTTCTCGATCATTTAGCAATAATGTTCTCTGTTCATTCTTAAGAAAGGTCACGGAGGCTTTAATGCTAACTACATAAGCTTTTTTTGTATTGAAAGGTCTTTTAGCTTAATCACGCACTACCACATCTTTGTCACGTTTCTTTTTAAATTAAAAAAACATTCTTAATGAAGCCATCAAATAATTTTCAATAGGTCATGTCATGGCCAACTATGTTTTGCATAGAAAAATGGAATCTAAAACATACCAAAATTTTTATTGTAAATGCAACGTAACTATTTTCGAGATTAGAGAAAACACAGTTACGTTCAATTACGTGGATACGTTAATTGTTTAGGTAGATGAGAAGTAAGTGATCGCTTGACATTCCAGTCACGTAGTGGTAAGAAAACAGTAGAAGAAGCAAAATAACGGTTCCCAAAGATGCAGCCGTGCAGTTAATTAAACAACTCCGAGGAGCTGGCGACGACGCTGATATACTTTGCCAGCGAACGTACAATTTACGTGAGTTGTTTTAAACATCCTTTCACTGTGAACGATGTATGACGAGCTGAATTTTGAGAGAGGTTTTAGTTTCTGAAGCATGTTGGTTTATGCGTTTAGTCAGGCCGGAATCACGTTTTTAAACTTCTATTATTGAATGTTTCTCTTCTCAGATAAATTTTTCATAATATGTCATGAATCAGAGGAGAATTTGACACGTTAATTCTCTAACGATATCTAATACTTCTGCGCAAGCAATGGCGGAATAAGGCATAGGCGCGCAAGACCGCTTTGGTAGAAAATAGGGATGCCAAAATGTTTAAGATGATTAAAATTAAATTTTCGTTTTGATTAACTGTAACATCAAATTTTAATGCTTCTTTTCCTACCCACAATCTTTAGATGTCAATTTTCATGGGATAAAATTATTTTGTTAAAAAAACTAAAACTAGTATTAAAAAACGCCGAGTAAATGTAGGTACCATCCTCCATTGCTCTGAAGTGTGGCCCATATGTAGGTATATATACATGTATATACCTTTTTACTTTTAATGTTAATACGTATATAATGTAATAACTTACAGCCGTCGGCACGTGCGTTGGCGTTTGCGTCCGCGTTCGCATTGGCTCCACCGTAGGCGTAAGGGTAAGGATTCAGAGAACGGCGAATTCTGCGCAGTGGCACAGGCGCAGAGGCGTGCCCTTCAGAATCGATCGTGTAGTACGCACGGGGCACGTAAAATTGCCCATCTGGAATAAGAAACTCGAATATTAAATAACGATACAATCGTAAACCCAAAATGGTAAAGTATTTATGACAACTGTAGATACAAATTATTCTCATCAATCTTTTCATTATTCAAATGTAAGTAAACGAAATAACGAAATAGAATGCAAATCTAAGGAATATAGAAAAGAACATTCGAGGCTGTACGAAGCGACCCCAACGCGGTTTCTGTTAAACAATGTATAGCGTTATCGTGCAGCACTGTTCATCCTTGCCTGCGAGCACGGAAAAATCAACACACCGTCTATAAAAAGTACACCGAAGTTCCGAGGGACGTTCTCACTGATTCAGCCGACGAACAACACGGTCCTCGTACCGGACCACGACGGCCGAACCTCGTTTCGTTTATGTTAACACAACATCTGATGTCATGACACAACATGTCATCAAGACTGCTTAGTCAGATTCCTACAACATGGAAACATAGTTGACTAATTCACAAGGTAAGTACTAATGTAGCCATAGTAGATATATACACGCACTTATCTGGCACACATCTACTAAATGCCAATACAATGGAACGGGATGGAAGGGCAGAATCGTTTTTTCATCCGAGTTCAGCAGATTGTTCCATTTGATTGCAGGTTTTCAAAAATAAACGGATTGTGATTCACGGGGAAGGATTCAGCATATAATTTATTACAGTTTTGTGTAAATGTGAGGACGATTGTTGAATATCTCAGAAAAAATTAAGCTAGGCAATTAAAAACAGGTGGATTGCAAAAACAATTGTAGGCGTATAAGCTTTGCTACCCATGCGAAGTCGGAGCGGGTCGCTAGCATAAAAAACAAAATTATGTATGCACAATGCTCGCTATAAATATTTTATAATTTTTAAGTATTAAGTCATTTAATCTTAATCTCGTATACTACGAGACATAATATCTAAATTCTAAACAGTAAATTTAATTTTCATTAAAGTTAAATAAGGATTCATAATAATTAGCGAAATGAGAATAACTAGCGCAATGATAATAATTTTGTAAATGTTGAATAAATTAATTGTATTTATATCATTTAAAAAATTAGCGCTTATTGTTCAAAAAAAATGTTCAGAATATTGTTCAAATACCTCATACTTAAAAATTTCAGAACGATCGATCGAAAGATTAAACCACTAAAATAAGAATAGTTAATAAATCTGCATAATACTTTAACGAAAAAAATGAATATTAAAAATTGCATTTAAATGTTAAATGAAAGGAAAGATTTATATCAATAATAATAAGGCATAAACAATGTATGTTTTGGTTGGAAAGGCGACAATTTGGACAATCTCAATCTTAAAAACGTTTTTAAATAAATTGATCTGCTCATGTGACATATAGTTTTCTGAGCGAATTTGTTTATTTTTGAACATTATATTAAACGGTACACAATACGGTATCTAATCTTTGTAATTAATTATGTTGAGGTTCAAGGCCATACATTTCGACAGACCATACGTTCAGACTTGGCTAACAGAAAAAAAATTATATATTAGTCAGCGGCAAAGTTGAGATCATCACTTTATAGAATACGTGAGCTTTTCTTTTTATACGGCCTCAAAATAACGTGACCATAGAGTCTTAAATTATTCAACACAGGGTCATCCTTTTATTAATTTAAAGCTATTGTAAAATATACAATATAACTTAATTTAATATTAATACCCATATGTGTAAGAATACATGCAAGAACTGATAAAAAAAGATTAATGCATATTCGAATTGTGCAGCCTTCATTCTATACTAAATAGAGTCTCAAGGGTAGTGAATAACGTCGTTGTTCCAGTTTACGGTCAAGTTCGATGAGAACAACCACAATGTAGTAAAAATTGACGTACAAATACTTACTCTTAAATAACAATTATTTCAATGTATACGTGACATTGCATCTAAATTTGATTTCACATAAGGATGGGTCGTTAAGGTTCAAATTAGTGAATACAAAGGTTTTTCTCGATCGGAAGCACAGTTGAGTGGTTTCATTTACTTTCCGACCATCTCAAGATTGAAACATTCGAAATCAATTACAGACAATGGTGCCTTACAAGAAACGAATCTCAAATTACAAGTAACAGCTACACCCAAAGGGGAAATAATGACACGGCTCCGAAGCGCGGTAAAAACAAGGAGGCCACTAACCTGCAAGCGCAGCGCTCGCGACGCCGACCAAGACGAAGAGTATGACGCCCTGCATTTTAACGTTGTACCTCCGCCGACACTTGATCAGAACTGGCTTCAGCGCATTCATTCGCACCTTTTATATATCTCCCGTTGAAAAGTGAGACCTGCACTCGCGCATCTCTCTGCACGTCCCCATTAACGGTCGCAGTTAGCAAAAAAGTGCTATCGAATTAAGTACAAATTATTATCGAACTGTCGATAAAAACTGTACCTTTTGAGTTCTAGATAGGAAGATTTTAATTTGAAATTGACTGCCACGAAACTTTTGATTAAGACACTCTAGTAAAAGATTTGTAATCTGCGTTAACGTTTATAATGAAAGATATCTTAAAAACTATTACATGATATTTTGAACAATTTTAAAAGACTGCAAAGTTACCTTGGTAATTTCGCACAGCATAAAATTGTTAAAAATGAGACATCGTAATTATACTTACTGAATTGAACAAATTTAAAAATCTCAATCAGCAAACCTATATGTACTAGGTTTCCTGATTGGAAAAATGGGAATGAAAAAAATGAAATTAGTGGGAAAGAGCGAATTTTAAGGTGTCCCGTCAGGATAATATACGTTCTATTACTATATTTTTAAAATATTTTTTTATTAAAAAAGCCGTGATAGCTCATAAAGCCGGGCAGATGATGGTCCGGGCGCAACCTGCCGGCACCAATAATTTTTTAATTTCAAGTGCTGAATTTTCACGTGCTCAGTGGTGAAGGAAAACATCGTGAGGAAACCTGCATATTTTCGAATAGTATCAAAAAAAATATTTCTTAGATATGTGAAGTCCGCCAATCTGCAGTGGGGCCGCGTGGAGGACTATGCCCTGATACCCTCTGTATTGCCTTTGCCCACAAGTGGGACATGTATAGGTTGTTACTTTAATTTAACTTTTTTATTAAAAATTATGTTATAAAAAATTTTGAAAAGCAGAAAATTTAAAACAATTTTGAAATCGCGAGTGACATCATAGAGTTCGTAATAGGTTTGCTGAGTAATTAATAGTAAGTTTAAAGTGCTATCAAGTGAACGCTTTCAATAAAATTTTGGTAGTTGAATCTCAAAATTTCTTAACATATTAAATACGAAAATAATCTTATTATAAACAGTTATTATGATCATATTTTATTTCTATCCATGAAAATTTTGTGAAGGTTAAAAAAATAATTTTTGTAAAATAATACACCTATCTACTGGTAGATGCTAACTGTCGTATTGATCTTGTTACAATTAAAAGCATTTCAATTTTATTAACGAATTCAATGCTTTATTACAATTTATAAAGTTTATATGTAAGCTAATTATCTGAAAATAAATAATCTCTGATGGAAATCTTCTAAATATAATTATCGTATTTATCACAAGTAATGTCAATAAACATAATAATTTCATAACGCCGTAAATACTTCAGCTAACGTTGTAAAGTCATGGATGTACTAGGACATATACATATATCAATAATTATCCCGACGTAACAATACACTATATTTTATGCTTTATTTATTGTTATATTACTTATACTATTTTATTGTTATGTCTATCTAATACAGTTCCTTGACGGTGAACTTTATGCTACTAAACTTATTTTTTATGAAATGAAAAAGGTCTTGTATAATTTAAATTAGTGTTTCGTAATTTTGATTACATATATATTTATATATATAATCAAAATTATTCTGTCAGTCTGTCTGTGCATTGAATATATTTATGAAAAATTGAAAAAGGGTATCATAAAAAGCGCTATAGGAAACATAAAAATCATTTTTGGAATTTTTGTCTGTCTGTCTGTTTATCTATCTGTCTGTCTGTTACCAATAAACTTGAAAACTAATTATCGGATTTTGATGCAGTTTTCACTGGTGACTTAAGCAAAGCTTGGGACAACATCTAGGCTTTTTTCATCTCAATCGGTTCACTCTAACGGGAGATATGTGAGTTTTAAGATTAAAGCAGTGCAGTCGCAAATAGTTATCACAGTTATTCTACTACTGGACTAGTTTATATGGTGTTTTTGAAAGTATTCAAGATTAATTCTGTGCAACATTAAAGCTTTGTTTTATTGCAATTGGTTCACTAAAAAAAAGTAATGTGAATACTCTACTACATAGGATCGATTGTAACGGGGTTTTTGACAGGTTGACAGTACAAATTACTCGCAATATTTGTGTATTGTTTGATCGTAATTAGTTTACTTGAACAGAATATATACGATATTAGTTACTAGATCAATTGGAAGTTTTTAATTTTTACAAATGACATAGCTCCCAATACAAAAAAATTACCTTTCATAAAAATGTGCTATCAGTGATAAAATTTTAATCACGACAAATTGAATTTTCAGTTTCATAATAAAAAAAATTACAATCCAGCATAGTTAAGTTACGACAAAAAGATAACAATATAGTTCCCGTGAAAAACTAGATGGCGTTGTTAACTTCCTAAAATGTTTTTTAATAATTAATTATAATAATGCGAATTTCTTCGATTGGGATTTATACGATAGGTTCGATTTTAGTTTTGCTCGGTGTACGGGTGTTCTTGATTTTGCTTTGCGATTTGGTTAGTTGTTATGCCGTCAGTTAGCTCAGTGTCCGGGCGGTCCCTTTTATTTCAATATACTCGAGCAACCTGAGTTCGATCCCCGGTGACGGCACCAATAAAATTGTTAATTTCAAGTGCCGAATTATCACGTGCTCAACATTGAAGGAAAACATCATGAGGAAACCTGCACGTTTTCGAAATAATAACGAAAAAAATTTTTGAAAGTATTATTATATATTATATATACTTTATTGAACACCAAATAAAACATAAAAGGAAATGTTACAGAACTATAAACTTAAGAGGTATAAACAATAAGGCGGTCTTATCGCTAAGAAGCGATCTCTTCCAGACAACCTTGTGGTTAAAAATATTTTAGTTTGGACAGCGGTAGGTGGTGTAAATGATAAACATACTAACATACTAACATTTAAATAAACTAAACGAATATATTGTATTTTTGTATAATAATAATATACTAATATATACCAAATAAGATACAATAGACATACATAAATCTAAACATATACTATACAATAACTTACAAAAATATATACAGGAACAAAAAAAAATAATGAATAAATAAATATACAAATGTCGTCGGTGATAATCATCTTGAGCACAGTGACAGAGAATAATTTTTTAGTCGTCAGTTTTAAATTTACGTAACGTTTTTGAGCGCTGGATTTGTGGAGGAAGCACGTTCCATAGGCAAATGGCTTTGACCGTAAAAGAGTTCTTAAAATAGTTGGTCCGGAAAGTATGCGGGGTGATAATAAGTTCTCTGGCTGATCGCAGAAATCTTACTGGTCTGTCATGACCAAGAAATTTAAATTGCTCCTTCAAATAACTCGGAGTCATAGGATTGAACAAAACACAGTAGAGAAGACGCCAAGAAGAATTTTGGAATGGGATAATGAAACTTCAATAAATAGATGCTCGGCTGCATTGGAAAGTGGGGGCTAAGTGGAATGTAAGAACGCAGGTAAATCTCCACTCCGCCTCCGCTCTTGCCTAAGCAGTCGTTACGAATAAGATGAAATCCTGGCAGTGAGTAAGAAGTGGAAGGTAAACATGGCTTCAACCAAGATTCGGAGACAAGAATAGCGTGTATGTTACGGGATTAAGTAAGTAAGTATGTTAAGTCCGTCAATCCGCAGTGGGGCCGCATGGTACACTATGCCCTGATACCCTAAGTAATGAGGCCTCGCCCTGCAGTGGGACAATTAAAAGTTGTTATTTTATTTTTTACTTTTTAAGTGTTAGGGACTGTGGTGGATTTCTCCATAGGCCGCGTACTTTTGCGGGCCAAATGTTGGGGGCTGCAAATTAGTGGGGTTTTTTAAGAATCGTTGCTCGCCTTTCGCCTCTGGCTTTTTTGCGTAGGCGATATTTCATAAAAATTATAACAAATCAAGCGCCATTCGTCAGCTCCATAATATCATGTACTTTCTTTCTTTTGTCTTTGAGTCTTTTTTCTTAATCTTTAATGAGCCTAGGGCGACCAACAGACAACTCTGTGTTAGGGTAGGATATTCGGGTATTACTAACTACTTTGTGGTTTGGAATTATGTTGAATCAGTAAAGTAAGTAAAAAGTATCAAATTGTATCTGATAATTTTTTTGTAATTAAGATACTTATTTTGTAGTATTTTCTAAATAATTGAACGTAAAAAAAATTACATTCGGTATCGACCTTTTATAGTATTTATTTCAAAATATGCCTCAATAGAATTAAAAAGAATGAGAACGATTGGATATCAACAATCTAATGAAAACGAAACAAGACTTAGTGCTGTTACCTATTTCGCCATAGACGCCATTCATTATCTCGCACATTAAGGCCCATTTACACGGTGCCAGTTTCTTGCCTGTTGTATACAATTAAATTGAAGCATAAATGAGTTGCATGGTCTAAACAACAAATGGTCTTAACAATTATTGCGCGCAATTTATTGCATTCAATTATTGCTCTTGTATGTACAAGAAAATGGCATCGTGTAAATGGGCCTTTATAGTTAGTTATAGGTCACAGACATTTAAGTAAAAAAGTAAACTGAGAGTGAATTTTGACTGAACACCCGTAGAGGCCGTTGACAGAACACTACAGTACATACACCGAGATGAAAGGCCAATGGGGAACGTCGCAGTTATTTTCTCTAAGATTTTCAAAACCCTTCCTCTCATTACTCAGGGGACTAAAGAGAAGAAATAAATGCCTCACAGATGCGTTCTTATCGCTGGCCTCAAAAACATAAGTCACGGTTTACAGTTAACGTGCGTACTCCGTTTACATGCCCAAGAATTTTCAGATATTCTGTTAAAATTTGAGAACGCAGAACGGATATCCTTTCAGAGAAAAAAGGGGAGGTGTGTCTTCCGGACATACTTGGTACAGTCGTTTTCTCCGAAACAAACTGATAAGTTCAGTATTTGGAGAACTTTCAAGTGTTCACATAACCAAGAATTTTCCTGATAATATCAGGATAATTCTTGGTTATGTGAACGCATTTTGCTCACTGCAAGCAATGACTAAGCCACAAATTAGCTGGTTGAGTGTTTAAGTTCGCTTATTGCAAGTGGCCTTTCTGCATTTAGGATCCCGCGCAGTGTCGGTGGAAAATTGTGCAATGGCGGATTCCATTTTTCAACTTTATATAAACTTAACTTCACATAAACTTAACTTCATATAAACTTAACTTTTCTACAAAGGCACATAATTAAAGCTGAGATCGTTACTGGGTGTGGCTCAGTCAAAATTGTGTTTATTTCGCTAATACCACTCGCCTGAAAACTAACCATAGCGCAGTTGTCAAGGCATTGCCTTCGGCGTGGGTTCGATTCTCATACGGGACAATGATTTATGTGATCCATAGTAATTGTTTCCCAGAAGGCAAAACTGACGTATTTCTGTTGACGCTATAACAACAAATAAAAAAATCAGAGTAATTTTTTTTAATTGGGGTTCTCATACAACAGACATGATTTTTTTGCCTTTCTTATAGATTATGGTATGGAACCCTTCGTGCACGATTGCGACTCGCACTTGGCTGGTTTTTAAATGTATATAATCTAACAATCATCATCATTTTACAGACCATAGTATAATTATAGTTAACTATAGTTTCATCCAATTCAGCTGTAGCTATTACCTTTTTTCAAGTTGATATAACTTTTTTATTTATCCACCGATTTGAATAAAACTAACACTAAATGTTAAGTGAAGTAGGTACTACTATTTATTAGTTAAAGTTGCACCTAAATCAGTTAAACCGTTTCTGAGATAAGCGCGCACAAAAGCACAGATACACAGACAACAATTTTTACAACCATTGTTTTAGGTTCTATTACGTTGATAAAGGGGGACCTTTAATAATAGTTTTTCTCAAATGTCTTCCATGTACAAAGTTACATTTTTATCATATCTATAGATATCTGTCTGTATCTATCTGAATTTTTCGCTTTCACCTTATTCCACGCGGACGTAGTCGCGGGCAACAGCTTGTTATAAATTTGTAAATTAAAAATAAGAAAAAGAGTTACTCTGATTTCAAGTTTTCACTGCTGCCGGAAGTCCCTATGACTGCATTTTTTTACCGTCTGCCTGTCCCTACGTAGGCTAGATCTTTAAAACTACGCAACAAATCTTGATGCGGTTTTTTTTACTAGTGTGCGCAGAGAGTGATTCAAGAGGAAGGTTTATACATATAATACTTTGCACCCATGTAAAAGCGGGGCGGGTCGCTAGTGGAAGATATTTGAGAAAAACTATTTTTGGGGGCCTTTATCAACCCAGAACAATTGAACAGAATTGATTTAAAAAAAAAAGATTGCAATTATACCAACTATTGCTCACCAACAAGGCCCAACTCAAGAAGACTGAAGAATACTCTTTGTATACTTGAATAACCTTTGTACACTTTAGACGACACACCTGTTTCTGAAAACATTTATTTTATTCTGTTTTTCAGTTTTTTTTTTGTTATAGCGGCAACAGAAATACATCATCTCTGAAAATTTTAACTGTCTATCACGGTTCATGAGAGCGTGGTGACAGACGGATAGACAGACAGCAGAGTCTTAGTAATAGGGTACCGTTTTTCCCTTTAGGTACGGAATACTAAAAACTAAGTTTTAATTGCGTAAACCTATTATGAATAACGAATGTCTGAAGACGATGAAACGTTTGAAAAACCCGTCGATTATTTCTATTATCACATATACATATTCAGTATTCAGTACCGTCTTTAACATAAGGGCACACGGGGCCCCCAGAAAGGCAAACATTGCCGAATTTGACACATTATATCAGATTATGTATATAATGAATAGAAATATAGTAAATAATAGAAACAGTAATTATTTTAATGGCCAAGCGATAGCAATAGGTTAACAAAAGGTTATAATTATATTTCGCACGGGACGAGTATGCTCTCTAGAAAACTATAAAATTTTAGGGATAAATTCAATCTACGCTTCTCACGCGAGGTATTTGTACATACATTGTTGCAACAAACCTTTTTTAATTTACAACGGGCACCAAATTCTTGTGTACCCTACGGTCCCGGCATGGCCAAAGATGCCATTGTACATATTTAGTATTGCTATATTTCCTAATTTTGACAGAAAAAAATCAATATTACCGAGATTTGTCGCTAATTTGAATAATCGTACTTATTACTTTCACGTTTTTTAGTCAATGCTGTGTACGTTACCCCAGATTTTTAGGGAGCTGTATCCAAAGGGTTCGACTCGGTTGAACTCGCACTTGGTCGGTTTTTTTTTTTCATTATAATAAATGTTACATATTTTCACAGGACAACTTTTCTATGGCAGCAACTTTGAAACAGCAGGTTCTTAGGGGGAGTACAACACAAGACCGGCGCGTAGTGGAAGTATTTATTATATTTTGCGTTTCGTCTGGTGAATAATATAACCAGGGCGTATTTCCTTTAAGGCTGACAATGCATTAGGCACCCCTCAGGTGCCTCAGATTTCCAGTGGCGACGGTAAGTACACATAACATCACACGAACTGCCCGATCGCATGAAAATTTTCAAAAACATCGATATTTTAGGACAAAGAAAAAAAAATGCTGGTTCACAATTAAAGAATAAATTGTTACAAAATTTATTTTGAAATAAAACTAACATCAAGCTTTTAAAATTGACAACTTTAAGGAAATTAGAGAATAATTTATGAGCATAATTTCATTTAGGAAGAATATTATAATACATGTCGCCATTTCGCATATGAGTATAACAGTTATAGACAGATACTTGCTCATACTGCTCATTTCTATACTATACACTAGAATTTTTTTGCAATTTAAATTCAGTCAGAAGAAATCGGCTGTTTTAAGTAATTTTAATTTATTTTTCAAAAAACAATTAAAGCACCAAAACAAATACGATGTCTGTAGTATTTATTCTTACTTATAGTAAATATAAAAATAACTATCTATGACAATGAAAAATAATCGTAAAATATTGTATAAATAATTTTAAATTGGAATCCACATTGTAAATTGAAATAATAATAATTGTTTTATACATAAAAATGCAAAATTATCAAATGGAATTTTCACGTGTACATATATGTCACAGTATAATTCTTATTAATAGATTCATATAAACAACATTTTAACCTAGAGTTTTAGTTTTTACACTTTAGAGATATTTTTTACAACCCTGTATCCACTATACTTTATGACCATATTGTTTTATTTTTAAGACGAAAAGATTCTATTACATCGGTCGACACCACAATAATATTTATTAATGAATAATGTTAAAGTATGTCATGAAAGCCGCAAGAATTTTTTTTCAACGACATTTAAAAAAACCGTCAAAACAATATAGTAAATGTTGCGATAAATATATTACTTAATATACATGGAAATATTTTAATGTCTTGCAATTTTGTGCTTCTATTTTTATTACAAATATATTACAGCAAAAAAATTGTAAAGTTCTACATTTAAAGGTATGGAGGACAACCAAATTTTTCTTAATTACAAAAATGCTGAAGATTGTGCCTTTTCACTTTGCCTTAACTGCTGCTTGTCGCTGTCGCAGGGCCTTGTTTGTATTTTGATCAACTTCTGGCAAGTCGGAATCATCAACGGGGATTTTTTTAACTGTAAAAATGGAATAAATGTTAATAGAAATAATTAAATTACCATTTAACCATGATATATTTTAAGTATTTAATTAATCTAGACATATTTACCTTTTTCCTTTTTAGGTTTCTCCTTCTTTTCTTTTTTGGGCTTGTTTAAAGCTAGCTGACGAGCTTCTTGTCTTTGCTTAATGGCTTCCGTGATGAAGTTAAACATTAAAAAGACCTGCCAAATATAAAAGAATATATTTTTACTATAATTTGCTTTGACTTGTGAACATAAATGTCCAAAGGACGATTTAAAAATGATTTCAGTAAAAGTAACATTTTGGCATTGTTCATTTAAACCAATGCACTATTACAAAGCAGCTTTTTAATATGTCATGCCTAAATGTCAATACAACTACTCATCATTCAGCTGGAGGTCATTACAATAACTAGCTCACATAGATGTTATTGTCAAAAAACAATTGTGAATAATAATAAGTTTAAAATGAGAATACTCTTATAATACATTAATAAAATAATAAATTAATAATGTATAAAATTAGTTACTAATAAAATAATAAAAAAGTATTTGTAAAATAATTACCAACAATATTTTTAAATTTCACATGTCATACCTGAAAAGAGACCAATACAGAGAGTGCGGCAACACGAAGTATCACTAAGGCAGCTCCAGCCATTCCATAGTAGAAAGTGAGTACACCAAGCACTAATGAGCATAACCGGACAGTCACAAACACAGCTCCATTGACAAGGCTCAAAACTGTAAAATAGAGATTTATTTACATTTAAATTGATTAATTTGCAATACAATATTTTAGAGTTCAATTAATATTTAAGAATGATTATTCTGAAATAAAGAATGTGAAAATCCTTTTATAAATGTCCTAAGATCATGGTATAATATGTGTTCAGTTTAAACTTACATTTATCTAGGTAATCCTCACGTTCGCCTCTTAAGATGGTGTTTAGGCGGTAACAATGAGCTATGAATTCAGCCAAAGAATGCAGGACCATAAGGCAAACACCTACACGTTGGAACCTGAAACACGAAAAATGTATGTGTAGTTTCTATCACAAAAAAAATGTAATTATTGGCCAGTATGACATAAATATTAAGAATTCCTACTTGATAAACATTTTAGATTATGCTTATCAAGTAGAATATTGGTCAATTTTGTTATGTAACAGATAGGGTATTCAATAATTATAATATGAAAATATTAAATAACACACAAATCATTTAAAATATTCATTTCATAAAATAATTATTAATTAATCTTACTTGAATCCATATGCGATTGCAACAAATGCAAAAGCAGCAGCAGCATGTCGGATACGGGCGGCCCATTCATCTTTCTTAATTCTTTGGAAATACAGTTCGGGAATGGTATGTAACCAGTAGGCAGCTTGTACTATCCACCATAACTTCAACAAGAAGCTCATCGGATGAATGGGGTAACCTAAAAGTATACATTTTAAATTAATATATATATACAGCGTGTCGTAACCACCGCGACAATAAATGAACACACGTCTAACGCTACTTGCCAATAATCATAAAAAAATATTAACGTTAAACAAAATCCATAATTAAAAAAAAAACTTTTCAAACAAAGTAATTAAGTAGAAAAAAACAAAGTTTGTAACACCTATGCAACTACAACTGACTGATTCATACATTCCAAGACTTTTTCATTCGTTGCCACACACAGGGTCGCATGTTTTGTCTCTTTTAAATTCATTCAACCCATTCATATGCTTTGTGACCTTTATAAATGAACTTTACGTTACAGTTTTATACGTAAGGATGTTCTAAAATTGATTGTATTGGAAAATTTAATAACTCGATAAATATTGATGTTTAAAGAATGTAAATTTTTAATACAATTTAAAAAAGTTATCCTCTATATGTGTGTTCATTTATTGTCGCGATTGTAAAGACATGTGTATCCATAAATTTTTATTACATTCTAGACATAAATAATGTTATATAAAAAATTATGATGATGATAAATATTTAAAATCACTGTAATTAATTAATTACATTCATTTGAACTTTTATGGACAACTCATTTATTTTACGCACGATCATTCATTACTAACACGCACACAACGACGCATTTATAATTGACTTCCGCATTGTAATTACGAATGATTATTTCTTTAAGACTTTTATAAATGATTAATTCTTAAAGACTTGTAATTAATATAATTGTCCATTATTATTTGAAGCAAAAATAATATAAATAATAACATATAGAAAATAAGATTACCATCCCAGAGACGTGAAATATTGAATATGAATCCTTCACGTAGAATAGCATCTCCTCCCCACAGAAGCGTCACAAGGTGAAAAACAACTAATTGGCCAGACTCATTGAGTGCACTCAATCTTGATTTAGACAGATGGAACTTCTTTGATATTTTCTATAGACAAAATTCATTAATTTTAAAAATAAGTTAAATATAAAATAATAAGTTTTGACTTATTTAAGAAACATTGTAGACAACTTATACTTACATCTAAAAAGTACTCTTGTAAGATAGCATGCATAACAATGCATACAAGTGAGTAGAAGAAAACAGCACATGCATCTTTCCACCCAGCTTCATATAAGAATGGTTCACCCTTCGGCACATCCCTAGTCGGTTCAACTCCACTGACATTATGATGTAGGCTGATAAATAAACTCGCAACGGGACTAGTCGACTGTAAATAAGTAAAGAGTTAATCATAACCATCATGGAGAGATTATTTATACAATGCATTATTTGCCACATATGTTAGAATACCACTTCAAAATTAAAATTTCGGTTTACGTGGCACCGATCGTCACTTACCTGAACCATCAGACCCACTAAAAAAACCATAACTACACACGAAACAATATCCGCGTGATTTTGTATCACAAATTCATGACTGAAAATTGGTGGGTTCTTGTTAGATTTTCTTCCTATTACAGGCTTTACACCCATCGTTCCTGATAATAACCTAAAACAATACGTTCTAGGTAAAAAACATTTAAATATTACCGTGACGAGATTATCATAAATGAAAAATTAAATTAATTAAGGTAACTTTAATATACGAGCTAAGAATTCGTACCAATAGGCAGCCAATAAGAGATAATCAGAAATAAGAATAAAAAATTCACTGACAGCAATCCAACTGACGTGACACTTTCACTTGCTACGCGGTGAAACGTCAACAATCTGAATTGAAGCTGATGTTTGTTGACGGCCGTGTTGGCACTTATTAATTTCAAGTAAGTGCTTTAATAAAAATTAAGATGTTGTTATTATCCAAATTTTACTTTGTTTTATGCATAAATTATTTAAAAATTATAACAATATTTTAAAGAAAGAAAACTGTGTATGAAATGAAGTAATTATTACAATTATTAACAAAGTTTAAGGCAAAAGCGGATATCAAGTCAAAATTTTTCTTACTTTGCCTCATTAGGCAAAATACAATGCTTACTCAGCTTCCAAAGATATTACTCTTAAATTATAATAACCGTAGACCGAACTTGCACTAAATATCGCGTAATTCCGAAATATAAATCACACATGAGTATGTTTAAGCTACTCAGGGGATAGTAGGGAACAATATATTTTGCAAGGGTAAATGAGGACGAAAAAGAAATATATATGTTACAGCTCAGTAAAATTCAGAATTACCCTAGCATACTTCGGAGTTGCACTTACACAACAAAAAAAGAATCTAATTTTGAAATAGTTTTATTGTAAAATACTGAGGATATTAATAATAGTCATTGGTTTATTGTTTTAAGATGTATATTCAAGTTAACTATGCGACCTTAGTTGATAGCATTAACTACACCAATTCTGACTGGTAAACGAAAATTCTAACATACCGTCAACTATTCTCAAATCGTTTCGTAAATACCCGATTGCACCTTATATATAAATAAGTATAAAAGGTCTATATTTAGCTTTAAAAACGGATGTCTATGTAAGTGTGATGGCAGCCATGTATTTTATATCGATCAAAAATATTTTTGAACGTGCACTTGGTTTTTCATAGTGTTACCATAAAATAGAACGTGTTAACACTTTTCTGCTCGGAGGTATCTACACTGCAATATTCTAACAAAGTTAAGAAATTACTTGTTTAGACAAACCTTTTGCAAAAGAGCAGAGTAAATATTTTGGGTTTGCTTTTGGTTTAGTTCTTTTGCAATTAATGAAGAAGACAAACGTGTCTATTTTAATTTTTCCACTATGTTCGCCTTCCTCTGGTATTTCTGATTCTCCTGTAGCTGGGCTCCTGCTTGTAGAAGGTTTCTCGTCTCATACCATACCTACTCTGTATTCTATCGATGAGGTATAAGAACCGATTTACACTGGTCAAGTGAAGAAGATAAGTACAGTAAGTATAGTGGCATGAACCATCGAACAATACCGAGACAACTTGGCTTGACAGCTGCCTTGCATCTAGACCCTAATCCCGTTTTCTATTTTTTGTTGCAAGTGCACCTCTCGCGTGTCCGCTTAACCCCCCGCGGGGCACTTGACTCGTAGTACAGTGGCCAGCAACAGGCAACACAATTGCACGTATTTTTTAACGTTGCTTGTCCATTTCGACAGTGAAATACCACTGGATTTGCTGTAGTGTAAACAGCCACTTATCCGATGGCCGCCACTGGCCGCTGTACTTGGCCAATATAATCAGGCTTAAAATATACTTTCACGGCATTTCATTTTAAAATTCACGACAGTATCTACTTCTCAAGATCTCGAAGTCGAAAGATAATATTTATACGTTTGTGATCCAGGACGTCTCATTTACTTAATCAAAATCAAAAATATATTTATTCATATTAGACGCTTGCGCGCTCTTATGAATCGTCAAATTTAACATCAAAAATTATGTATATAGGTTCGTAAGGTACAATCGGTTCGGAAAGCGGTTTCTGTTGAGAAGAGACCGGCAAGAAACTCAAAAGAATAGTAATAGTCATATTCTAGCCTACGTGAGTATCAACAATATTAACTCCACACATTGGCGTCGTCGAGATAATTTTACATTTAAATTGGTCAAGCGGCAGACTTAATATCGACTGTGGGATTTTATTATACATGCGCACAATTTGCCCCATGAACGATCTATCTGTCACTATTCTTTGGGTAATAATTAAGATTATGACGTTTATACAAAATATTACAATAAATGTGTTGAGAACCAACAGTGACTATATTAACCTCTGAAAAGATCTCTAAGTGAATTCCGGGCTCCAATATTGTAGATTGCTCGGACAGCTCTTTTTTGAAGAATAAATATAGAATTTATATCTGATGCACTACCCCAAAACAAAATGCCGTACGACAAGATGCTAACTGAAGTAAACAAGTCTGGCAGTGTAGATGTCTGTAAGCTGCCTAACCCTTCTAATCGCATAAACAGCGGAGCTTAGCCTATTCGCAAAAGATGATATATGGGGACTCCACTGGAGCTTTGAATCTACTGTAATTCCCAGAAATACAGCAGACTCAACTGGATTAATGGGTACGATATTAAACTTAAACTTTTCCTTCTTATACTGGGAAGGGTAAAAAGAATACATCTAGTTTTTTTTGGCATTCAATACCATATTATTAATAGTAAACCAGTGGAGGATATGTGAAAGTGCACTATTCACATCGTCATAATTTAATACGTTTCGGTCAACCTTAAAAATTAGCGATGTATCGTCGGCAAACAATACGACATCACACAACCCACTGTCACAAAAGGGGAGATCATTAATATATACTAAAAATAATAATGGGCCCAAGATTGATCCTTGCGGGAACTCATTTTTATCGGGAACCCAGCGGAACTAACATCATTTATAGATACTTTTTGAATTCTATTACTAGGGTAAGAGGCAATGAGATTGAGGACGATGCCACGAATGCCATAATATTCTAGCTTTTGAAGGAGAGTTTTGTGATCTACGCAGTCGTAGGCTTTTGAAAGGTCACAAAAGATTGCATCTTGTGACCTTTCCTAGGCGTTATAAATATGTTTGACAAGTGCGACGCCCGCATCTGTTGTCGATCTGTGAAATAAGAGAAATCACCTTTAGTGAATCCATATTGCTCATCGTGAAAGATTTTGTTCACATTAAAATGGACTAAAAGTTGATTTAAAATTAGCTTTTCAAAAACTTTACTTAGAGATGGCAATATGGAAATAGGTCTATAGTTGCCTGGATCATTTTTATGACCACTTTTGTAAACAGGTATTATTTACTAAATTTTATAAGATCTGGAAATATTCCAGAATCTATGCAGTAGTTAAAAATAGAAGCCAAATGTTGTGCAATATATGGCATTATTGTGCTCATTAATTTTATGGGCATGCCCCATATATCCCCTGTATTTTTCAGATTAATAGAATTCAAAACTTTTATGCTATCATGAGTATCTACGTGATTAAATTTAAATGTGTGTATACAATAGGTAACATTATTTCTTAATACATTAATTGCGTCTGCGGGAGATGATTTTAATGTACATGTGACATTAACAGCAATTTCTGAAAAATAGCTTTCGAAACTACTCGCAATTTCGTTATCTGATGTTATGGGAGTTTTAACTTTATAGGTTCCCTAAATATCTTGGTTTTTCCAGATATACGGATAAAGATGTTAAGTGGCTTTAGATGCGAAGTGGCTTTAGTTTTATTGTTTGAATTTATTATGCTATTTCTTATATAAATAGATTTTGCCTGAATACAGACTTTTTAAAATATTTTTGAAAACGTTTGTAACCGTTTATGGAAGTTAGGATCGTAATTCTACTGCCTCATATTATTATATAGTATTAGTATTAATATAGTGAATCCCTACCAAGGGCGGATCCAGGGGGGGGGGGGGTCATGGGGTCATGACCCCCCCCTGGGCTGGGTCCAGGACCTAGGTGGACCACTAATTAAAATTGTATAACATAATGTTTTTATATATCTTTTGCACACATATAGATTTTACGTAAGTCCCTTCAATATTTAATTAAAATAATATAATATTTGAAACCGACTTCAAAACGAGGAATTTCTCAATTCGATTGGTATATTTTTTTCGATGTATGTACACCGATTACGTTGAGATTTGATCCGTGATTCTTCTTTAGTTTGATGCAGAATAGTTGCCATTTGGTCCCATAAAAATTTACCATAGTTTGGCAAGTAGTTTTAATTTTATGAACATTTTTACAATATTTTGATGACTCCGTGGCGCAGTTGGCCAAGATTTTGGCTTCGGCGTCGGGTGTGGACAACACAGATAGTTGTTTCGTATCTGGATGTTTGTCCTCGTGCAATTTATGTTTGTAAAACGTCCTTACAATACAGGATAATGTTATCCTAAAGTGAGGGCAATGTTTATCAAAAAAAAAGTTGTAATGTTAAATCATCAAATCAAATCTTGCAAATTAAATTTGATCTACTTCCCGGTTACTGGTATAGCTACAATTTTGTATACATGTGTAAATCCAATATTTTTGTAACATGGTGCTGATCTGATGATGGAGCTGGAAGAAGGCCAGAGGAACTTCGAAATGAAACGACAGAGCCTCATCGCGTTTGGGTACATTTGAATCGTATTAATGAGTAGTTTGTCTTTCATTGGTAACCACGATCTGATGATGGAGCTCCATCTTCACCCGTCCATGGACATATGCATAGGGTTGCAGATGCGTTTTCTCCTTATAATAAAATGGGCTCCGGCTAGGTAGCCAGAGCCGGAGCAAAATGCATCTCTTGAGTGAGGTACTCACCAGACAAATCGCTTACGACAGAAGTACTTTACGCCGATCTATGAGGCTATTCTGTGACGTTCCTATGACTACTCTGTAATGAAACGACT